TCATTAAAGAGCCTGTGACGTGCAAATACAAAAAGTCAAAGAAATCATTATTATATTCAAGAAACTTGGCATAATACACATGATTTTACCCATTTGGTCAGAGATCTTTAAGCTTCAAACTTAAAAAAATGATCTAAACATCCTCTTATCATTCAGTGTTTGTTGATGCAGCAACTTCTCTCCAACAGATTCGACCTTTTCTGTTTTGGTCACTTCATATTTCATCAGTGGTGGGCAGCACTAACTCAAAATTTAGCTGCACAATGTCTAAAGTGGTAGTCAATTTATTTAGATCCACAAGTTCAGAAGTGCATATGCTCACAAAAACTTAGCAGAAGCCAAACAAAGTGCAAATCTGTCTCCGTTCACCAGAAAACATTCCAGTGACTCCATAAGACATGTTAGCAGCTCAATACTGCCAACCAGTAGAATGATGTTTACCATTTACAGAATGACCAGAATGGCACAAGTCGTCGCAGWTTGGGGAGGTGATTTGTTGAAACTGTCTTTTCAGTCATGGCGTTAAAATAAAAACTAGCTGAGGATTGTTAGTTCTGCTGCTTCTTGGTCATTTTATYATATTTATAGTAGGGCTTCAGTAAGAAAACATGCAGATATTAGTCATTTCAAACTGTTTATTGTAAAACAGAAGCGGTGCATTCAGTTTAGACGACTYTCTCTTTTTCTTTAGACAATACTGATGATTGAACTTGTAATGTTATTTGTGTTTAATGCTACTCAACTCTAAATTTACAAAGCACAAATTGCACACCATTTGAAGAAATTAATAAAAACCCTAAAGTGCAAAGGAGAAATTTAGGTCAGTAATTAGTGCTTTAGGGGAATAGTGCCCACCACTGTATTTCATGTACTGGAATATAGTTTTTAAWGTGACTGACTGCTGGCCTCATGAAAACGATACATTTTTGAATCTTAAATCAAAGTGTTTAATCCTGTGCTCAGAACACATGCTTGTTCAAGTTGTATTTATGCAGTAAGTAGAGGTAGTTTTCTGCTGCCTAATCGCCAAATGATTCAGAAACAAATGCACTGTAAAATAATAACCTCAACTCTTATTGAATGAACCGTTTCCTAAGAGAGAGAGAGAGAGAGAGAGAGAGAGAGAGAGAGAGAGACAGAGAGACAGAGAGACAGAGAGAGAGAGAGAGAGACAGAGAGAGAGACAGAGACAGAGAGAGACAGAGAGAG